GCACCGGTTTTACGCTGACAGGACAAGACACTGGAACAAGTAGAGACATTGGATCAACAGTGACTGTAACTGGTGGATCTGAAACTGAAACAAGGGGGGATATAGGGTCAACAATTACCGTAACTGATACAGCTGGGTCTAGTCGTGACATAGGTGCAACAGTCACAATAGATTCGGGCAACGATATCGGTACAATTCGAGATAGGGATGCCTCTGTAACAATCATAGATCAGGGCATGCAAACAAGTGGAAATGTTGTCAGCAAAAGCCGTGATAGGGATGCTAGTGTCTCCATTTGGACAAGCAATGTCACGACTGATCCACCACTTGATATCACCAGATCTGGAGAAACTGTATCTGTTTTAGGAAGTCGAGATTCTACAATTACTAGTGGTAGTGTCGTAGATTCCAGTCTAATGATTGGGTCTGATGGAAGTAGAGTGTCTGTTGAAGGTGATAGAACAGTTGATAAGTCAGCAACAATAGCTTCTGATTTAGGCACCTTATCTGGTAGTAAAGATGTTGCCACCTCTGTTTCCCTCAATACAGGTGCGGGTTCTACATCTTTATCTGGAACTCAAGAAAAGGATACTTCATTAACCATTGAATCTGCTGGCGGATCCTCCGCCACACTAACAGGCGACGTAAATAGAAACGTAGATATCAGCAGACAAGACGGAAGAACAGAGACAATTGTCACAACATCAAATACAACAAGATTGGAGACGGACATACGAAGTCCATCACTGACAGAGACTATTGTAACTGATACAACATACAAACCTGAGATTTCAAAAAAGACAGTAGTTATTCCTGGTGAAATTTCGGTAACAAGAGAGGTTATGAACTCTTCAACCTCATCACAAGATTCTATTCCCGCTGGTAAAACAATTATAAGAGAGACAATAATTACCGAAACCTTTGTCACGGATGGTCAGGGTGGACTAATTCCAGTTGAATCAGTAGAAGGTGGAATTACAGGAAATATAGGTGGCACCTCTTTTACAACTAGCAGCATGTCTGATAGCAATGTTACAGCTGTTTCTGAAACAACATCAGTTCAAGGACTCCCATCATCTTCATTGTCATCTCTTGATACATCTTTATCAACAACCGGAATCTCAGGAACAGTGGTAGTAGATCCGACGCTTCCAATTGTAGACTCGGCAAACATAGCAAATGTTGTCACCTCTGAAACCGTAGATATTCAACCAGAAATTGTTCCACTCGTTGACCCGGTCCCTACTGCAGAGATTGGAATATCTTCTACCGACTCTTCGTCATCATTTGTCGATACATCGTCTTTGACGGGAGCGTCAACTATTTCAACAGGTGGGACAAGTGTAGATAATGTTTCTGTTGATACCGTGTCGGGCGTTTCAGGATCAGCACAATTGCAAAACGCTTCTTGGACAAATTACACAACAATACGGGATCCAGCTGGAGATTCAACTATTATCATTGAGGAAACAGTTGTAATTAAGAACGTTACACAACCAGCAAGTGAAACCATCGTAGTTACAGAAGGTACTACAACGACTCTAAATGAAAGCCGATCATCAGAGAAAGCAAGCGATTTTCGCACTGTAGAAACGTCATTCACATTAGATGCAAACGGAGTAACAAGGGATTCTAGATCGGGAAGTATTGTTGCAGAAAATAACCTTACAGGTGCAAACAGTGGCACGAGTGGGTTAAATAGTGAAAGTGCAGTTTCAACTGGTACAATTTCGACATCGTCTACTTCTTCTTCTTCATCATCAAGTTCAGTAACTAATCAAAATCCTGGTTTTGATTTTATACTTTTGGACACAGGACGAAATATAGCGCCCTCTAAACCAGAACAACAAGTGGAGGAGATTATCACAACTGTGACCGAAGAAATTATCGCTGCACCTGGAGAAAAAATATTGCCACCACAGACTAAAACAACCGTACAGAAAGATGGAACGGTTGTTACAGAAGTTATTGAGTACGTCGATGCTAACTTCGCAGATGGAACGATGGCTTCTACAGATGTTACATCATCTGACACTTCCTTTACTTCAACAAAAACGTCGTCGTCTACTTCATCGACAGGTACAGTTAACGTTGCTAAACCAAGACAGCCAGGTCGTGTTATAAGCGGACCATCTGGTGTGTCTGGAAGTCTGGATATAGCAAGTGGGGATCTTGCAGGAGGATCGTCCCTGTCCCTTACACCACCAGGCATGAGCAGACCAAATAACGCTATGTTGTTTTTCATTGAACCCGGCGTGACATCGGAATCTTCTTCCTCTGTTCAAACCGGATCGTTGCAAGTGGGTGGTACAGAAGTAATGTCCAACACTGGAAACACCGTAACTAGCAGACAAGGTGCCGAGACTTTCAACTTACGTAACGTTGACACAAACACAAGAGGGTCGAACGAGTTTATTGAGAGACCAGGCACAGAAGTTGTAAAAACTGAGACCCGTGTTGAAAAAACGTCAAAATCAACTGAGACAAGAAGCAGTGGTGCAGGACTTGGAGGATCTGTAAGCACTGGTGGCTCTATCAGCACTGGCGGGTCTATAAGCCCTAGTGGGTCTATCAGCTCTGGAACGTCTATAACTGCAGATGGAACAACTGGTGGATTACTAACAACCGGAACATCAAGTGAATCGACAAGCTTGGGAGGTAATGTAAGAACTGGTATGACAGCATCATCTGCAACAAAGACAGGAGGAAGTGTCAGTTCCAGAACTACATCAAGTGAATCAGTGAGTCAAGGTACTCCAATGAGAACAGGGGTAGGGTTATCCAATCCAGTACTTTTCAACACGGAACTGCTTGCTGCAAAAGCTATGGAAGCCGCTTCCAAAGTTCCAATGGACACAAATCTAAACGCAAACGTTGGGGTCAATAACAAAGTATCACTGAGGCGAAAGCGAGCCGTGGGCGAGACCCGAATGGTAGAGCAAATCAATAATATGTTAGACGTTTTAACAGGTTATTTTAAAGAAACACACAATAAAACAGCAAACAATATTGTCAAAGCCCTTACAAAAATACACAAAAAGAAAAAAGGTGATCCCTCAATGAAATTATTGAATATCACAGTAAAAACAAAATTACGTACTGTACCAGAATCCAAAAACCAGAATGAAAAAAAGATATTTTCAGAAACAAGTAATTTTCGACTATCAGAAAGACAAAGGGGAAAGAAGACTAAAATACCGTTAACAGAAAAGTCTTCAGTAACCTCAACTAAAATAGAGCTCAAGCCAGGAATAACAAAGACTTTGGAGACTAACAAGAAAGAACAAACCCTTATACCATCCAAAGAAGTAAAGATATCACTGTCTCGATCCGTCACACCGACTGCAAGTGAAAGGGTAATTGAACAAATTAAGAAGGACATGAAAAGACAGAAAGAATTGGAGGAACTCCGTCAATTAGATACAGCTAAAGAAGCGACCAAAATCATCGATGTTTCAACGACATCCAAATCAGAATCAAAACAGGCTCAAGTTTCAGTAACAGAACAAAAAACTGAGAAAGTTACAGAAACCGTTCCAGAAACCACTATGGACCCTCTGTCTATTGACACAACCTACGTTTATGAATATGTAACACAAGAACCAATCACGGAAATTCTGTATCCGGAAATAACAAAACCACCACCAACAACCACGACAACTACCACAACACCACCTCCACCCACGCCCTCCCCAATCTCCGCTCTAGATAAAGCCCGCGCTGTTTTTGAACAAAGCAGAAAACCTCGCCGACAACGCGTACCTTTGAGAAAGCGTAAGCAAGAATTAAGTGAACATGTTTCTCACAGACTAGCTACTTCCGAGGATTCTTCTAGAGTCCATACGGCCGGTCAGCTGTCCAATTCCATTCCTCACACTGATGTTCAAGGAGGTTTGTCTATGTCCAGGAACGATAATCACAGGACAAATCTCATGTCAAGTTTGTCGGGAAATGAACAGAGCCAAAGAAATTTCCACCATCTTTCACAGAACGAGGATATGAACTATGTACAAACACAAGGCAAGATTGTCTAATGCATCAGTTATTTTGACTGACTTGTATTTTTAACATTAAAAATAAAATTAAACAAATAATGAAGTGTCTTTAGGCAACGTCACGGGTTTACTTTTACTTATGCATGCATGATTGTGGTAATTGTTTTTAAAGTAAATATACATAATGCAAACTAACTGATTTTTTAAAACTTCTATTGGGGTGTCTTGTAGTTTGTCTTTGTTTGGGACTTTATAACCATGTGAGTGATTAACATTCTCCTAATTGTCGATATGGTGACTTACACTTCATTAATTTGTAATTATGGTTTATGAATATTATAAGTTGGTACAGGTTGCGGTATTAATATATATTTACATATATGTATATTTGTTTTTATTTGTTGTATGATTAATTACTAATCAACTGTTTTTGAATATTTACTCCTGTAGAATTATCCAATAACATAAATGTATCGGTAGATGAGATAATAATAGCGAATTCAACTGTAAATCTGGACATTAACACTACTACTACCAATCCTACTACTACTACTATGGTATCTACTACTGCTGTTACGTCAATTCCTTCAACGACTGCGCAAAGCGCCCTTCCAGAGCCAATTCCTATGGCATATAGCGATTTATCTAGTCCAAGTATATACTCAAGTAATATCACTTATTCATTATCTCTGATAGGACAACTGCTTGTATCTTCTCAAGTAATATCACTTATTCATGATCCCTGATGGGACTACTGCTAAATTTAATGCTAAGAAAGAATACGAAGTATTAAAATCTGCCTTTATACTTAGAAAAATGAAAGTAAGCACCTGAGAGAATGAGAAAGTGAATAAGTTGTTTTTAAATGAAGATATATATAATGTAATTGTTAATTTTAATTATCAATTATTTTCCCACGAAAAAAGGTTAGGCTTTGATTTATTTAATTAAAATATATTAACTTGATATATTTACTTGATGAACTTACCTTTTTCTGCATTACAGCTTCGCCTTCCAGGTCGTCTTCACCAAGTCTGTCTTTGACTTCTTCAAGAAGTAAGCTTCCAAACTAAGGAGAACTGTTAACAACAATCTGAAATGCCTATAACATCCATTATCTAGACAATGATAACCATAAAAACCAAAAACAACTCTTCAAATATTGCAAATTCTGTTTAATTACATGTACTTTAAACCTTGTCGTAGTGAATGTTTAATCATTAATCATTTGTTTCTATTTATAGCCCGTGATGCAACTTTATCTGGCTTGGGTCAAGGTCAAGGGTTATCTGATTCTTACGGTGAGCAACGCACAAATTCTTTCACGGTGAAAATTAATGATTTTTTCTTAAATTCATATCAATCAAAATTTATGAACTGAACTACAAAGTGAAGATATGATATCGGAAATCCTTATTGATTATGAAATACGTAAAAGTCATTTGCAATAAGCGATATCCATAGGAGCCATCGATTGAACTGAAAAGTATCCAAGTTAATTGTATGGATTTTTTTATGTGATTTTTCCGCGAATTTTAAATAAGGGGGGGGGGTTCGTTTTAATTAGATTTATCTAAATGGTGAAAATATATTTATAAAGGTTTTTTTTAATTATGTTTATTTTTGAAAATTAATTTTCTTTTCAGTTTAAATTAATCAGAAGTATGGAATAGCCATCAAGCTGAAAATTAAAAACAATGTTTTCAGGATTTGAATTTTATTTATTTGTTATTTTTTATTTATTTTTGGTTTTTGTGTTTCCCATGGAAGGTATTGGGATTAACAGTTAGAATCACTAATAAATTTTAATGTTTGAAGCAGAACAATATGTTCTTTTTAATTAATGGCTTTCAAAGATTTCCCTTTAATTTGTAGAAAATAAATCCTAGAGCTTTTAAGACAGATTTGCTCTAAATTAACTGTCTAGCTTTGCACTCTTAGTTCGCGCATGCGTATGTGTATTAAATTTTAACAGGATCTATTTTAAATTGTGCAGATCGCAATGTCGTCTTAGACAAGAGCATTACAATCTAAGTGCTATGATAAATAGGAAAAATAATACAGAAAACACTTTTTTGTAGGATACATATCTTTTAACCCCGATCCCGACAATAATAATTTTTTTTCAGGGGTAGCTTCAGCGAAACAAACCTCTCAATCTAGTGGAAGTGGAATGCCAGACAATGCTATGAGAGCTTTCTTGGGTTGGTTTTTACTACTCCTAAAATATCATTTTTTAGAAAACTAATTACATTTACAAATATTATCAAAATGATATTTGAAAATTATACCTCAATTTAAACAATTCAGTTTTTAAAATACTTATAATTTATATGGATACATAGCATTTTAAGCATTACTTTTATATTTGAATGTAATTATATTTCAGCTGTTCTTTCACCACAACAAAAACTCCAATTACAGGGACTTCTGGGAGGTACGTGTGAATTGACGTTTGGTGCCAATTTTTTTGGCAAAAAATAACAATTTTCCCAGAAAAATTACGAGGAAGCTTTTAAATATCTATCATATCTAGGAGGGGAAAACTATATTTTATTAAACCCTTCTCGTCGAATGTCTAAACAATCATAACTGGAATACCCTTAAAAGTCGAATCGTAGGCCTCAATTGTATCACTATCTTAAAAACTGGTGTCAAAAGTAATACGGTATGTAATATGTATATGTAAAAACCTTACTTATTCCAATTCAACTGATTGCAAATAATATTAACTGCTTTTACATCTATTCAAACGTAGCATGTTTTTATTCATAATGCTAAGTTTTTGGAAGAAAGCATTTTACAGTTGTTCTTGAAGTTTATCAGAGTATGAAAGAATAAACTTATGTTGACTTTAGGTGGTGGAGCCAATGCTTTCCAGGCACCACCAAGGAGGCGCCCCACCACAACCACGACTACCACCACGACTACGACAACGACCCCAGCACCAACTGTCCAATCACAGCCCGACTTCACTGCACTTGCGCAGAAGATGATGCAAAGTCTAAGTGAGTAACATCACTTTTTTTTTTATTGTTTTCATAATGGTAGGCATGATGTTGACCAAAACAGTACAACAATGGACAGAACTTAAAAAGCATGTAATCTATTAAAAGGGAAGTACTCTTTGTGCATTTTGAAGAGATATAAAGTACAATAGGGGAAAGGAAGTCAACCTCTTGCAATTGAATGCAGAATATTTATCGGTTTATTGCACCACCCTGATACATATACAGTATTTATCTCCCAACTTATGTAAAAATGTATTTTTCTTTAGACTCTAAGAACTCCCCGTCACCGGATCAGCTCCAACAGATGATGGGTAAATAGACCGTCTGTGTGTCGTTCATGTTCGTCCTAACAGTGTCTATAATTCAATAATTTTTACCGCCCTCTATATTGTAATTTTGTCTTCTAATGCTTTTTCTGTTAAGGGTGATTATTATTTTAGTTAATTAATTAAGTCAATATTATTATGTCTTTTAATTATCGCTTTGAAGTTTTTGTTTTTAATCTGGGAACAAGGTTTATGTTCTATTGAAAAAAGTATATATTCTTGCACAGCATCCCTAGGGGATGGTAAGTATTGATTTCACAAGCAGCGCATACTTTAACAGCTGAGGAATACTCTTATATTTATGCATTATTAAAATCGTATTTCATAATACTAATATAGAGCAATACAAAACTCAAATTTAATAAAGTATAAATAATTGATACAGAATCACAAGATTTAATTTCAAGAAAGGTTTGTATCTATTCATATATTTCATAAACCTTGTACATAAAATTCATCAAGTCATATAAATACATTTACACATATAATAAAAGCGCAATATTGCAATTTTTTTTTTCGAAAAAGAGCGATAACTTCTCGATTTATAATCTTTATCTTGTTAATTTCTCTTTTTAAAAAAATGCCCATTCGCCAAAGTAAGGAAAGAGAGACAATTCTTTAAGTCACAAAAATGTAAGCATTTATTGCGCTTTTGGTTTCATAAAAATTACATCATTGGTAGAGGTGTGCTATAATTGAAAAGAATCAAAAGCCCCATGCTTATCGCTTTAAGAGTTTAGTTATGATAGTATCTTGCATTTTTATATCCTCCGCATTGACTTGTTTGTAATATCAATTTCTGGTTGTATTCATTTAATCTTGGAGAAAAAATTTCAAGATATATTGATGCTGAAATCATATTAAAGAACTTTAAACAGTATATTTTCAGCAGATTTTTACATTGTGACTTACAATTATTTATGTATCAGTATTTTCTTTAGCATTTATTTAAAATTGATATTTGTACTTATTTTTTTAAACATTATTTTTTCTATAAATATAACTTTTTCTTTTTGTTTTAGGAATGGGTTCTGGTGGAAACGCCTTTAGTCAGTTAATGGGTATGTAACCCTTATAAGTTGCATTTAAAGAGAAAGAATTTGTATGAGAAGTCGTAAAAGACATGTAGGATGTTTTTTTCACACGAGGAAAAGGAATATATCTGTCACACTTTCTAGACCTTTCAGTGAGCATTCAGTGAAGGGTCGGGGCGGTTATGAATGTTTTACAGTCACTTTCAGTAATATTTCAGTCTCCTTTCATTAACCCTTTTATGTAAGCTTTTAGTCACCTTTTGATAAACTGAATGACATAATGTAATTGTAATTCTTCCTTTTATCAGTATGATTTTATTACAACGAATATGCAGGTATTTCTCTATCCCCTTTTATTATTTGTTGTTTGTTAAAAATATATATTTTTTTGTTTCCTTGTAGCATCCATGGGCGGCGGAAATGGAGGAGGTATATTTTTTTTATTTTAAGAATTTCTATTCATTTCTTTAAATATTGTAAATGAGTTTTGAAACCGTGGCTTGCAGGAATATACTGAAATAAGTTTTATTGAATGTGTTTCAAACCCTTTCAGGAGAGTCTGGCAGTAGCGGAAGCAGTGGAAGGCCAAGTCGATTCAATGACCCAATGAGTAAGTCAATTCTATTGATAGAATTACCAGTCAATTCAATGACCCAGTGAGTAAGTCGATTCTATTTATAGAATTATCAGTCAGTTCAATGACCCATGAATAAGTCGATTCTATTTATAACACTACAAGTCAGTTCAATGACCCAATGACTAAATCGATTCTATTTATAACACGACAAGTCGTTTCAATGACACAGTGAGTGAGTCGATTCTATATATAACTCTGTAAGTCGATTCAATGACCTAATGGGTAAGTCGATTATATTTATAACACTGAAAGTCAGTTCAACGACCCAATGAATAGGTCGACACTGCAAGTAGATTCAATGGCCCATGAAGTAAGTCGATTTTATTTTGACTCGATATAAATCAAAGGTGATAGCTATTTATTATAACTATGCAAATATGAATGGTCAACTACAAATTATTCAAAATTATATTAATCAATAGTTTTTTTTTGACATATGAAAAATTAATTATTTTATAAATTTTATTTTATCATTATTTTGTTTTAATTTTAGGTATGGGTATGGCTGGAATGAGTAAGTAACAGATATATTAATTCATTTCTCTATTAGTTAATGCATATTTAGCATAATCATATCAAAATTAATGCATTTTTTAACGATTGTAGGGTACTAATCATAATAAATGCATTTTTTTTCATTCAGACCCAATGATGCGCAGAATGATGATGAGAAATATGCGCATGGGCAGTGAGTATACATCATCTTTCAAATTTCATTCTCAATCTAAAAACTTTAATTACCCTGCCTAAATATTTTTAACTTGTGTTATTATAAATATTTTTTTACGATGACTTTGTGGATAATTGCTATGGTAAAGCTGAATTGAATATATTACATAAATATTATATTTATTACATAAAATATTACATTAATTACATAAAATATTACATTTATTGCATTAAATATTACATTTATTACGTTCAATATTACATTACCCATTATGTTGTCTTCAGATACCGCTACTGATCCCGGGGAGGTCCCTGAACAGCCTACACCAGGAGAGTCAGGTTTGTGCTTTTTTAAAAAAAAAAGCCTCTGATTTTCCATTACATTATGCGTTTTATTGCATTATGCGGGATATTGTCAAAAGATTTTATTCAAAGACCTATTTTTGATTATTATTTTTAGGAATGGGAATGAACCCACTTATGCTGATGGGTAAGATGAATGTCAATTAAAAATTTAATAGTTGTATTTTAAATATGGTTTCCAATTCTTAACAAAAATTGTGTACTGACTTGAAAATTAATTTATTATTAGACTTTATACAATTCTCTATTTACAAATTTACAAGTTGTACTATAATAGAATTGCCTTGTCATGTACAAACCGCTCGAAATTTTGATTTACTTTGTTTACCTCATGTGTATATGACCAAAATGTGGTAATAACTTGAGAAATGAGTACATGTAAAAAAAAAGTGTAAACTCACATGTTGATGGTTGTTGCATTATTTCTTGTGATTGACAGCTATGGGAGGTGCCGGGGGAGGATCTGGTGGTGGCGGACTGGCCAGTCTTCTGTCTGGAGGACTCGGGGGAGGAAGCGGGGGCGGTGGTACGTAACAATGCAATGACTTCATTGATCACATCTCTCTAAAATCATCAGTTTAAGAAAACTGTCATTGAAAAAAAAAATCTAAATAATAGGCGGAAAAAAAGTGCATTTTAAATTTTAATGAAATAAAATAATAACTTTTACCACATAAAATTCTATATTCATGTACATGTATATAAATTTTAATGAGTATGTAATGTGTACCATGTAGGACTTGCGTCACTACTTGGCGGAGGGGGCGGTGATATGATGTCAGCTCTAGGAGGTGGTGGAGGAATGGACATGGCTGCCATGGCACAGGCAATGGGCATGCTCGGCGGAGGAGGAGGCAATCCTGGCCCTGACCCACCATCAGCCTCAACAAGTGAAGCTTCATCTACGTCATCCTCGTCTTCCTCTGGAAAATCAAATAAAGGAGGTGCGTTATACCTTAATTTTCAATTAATGAAGTTCATTTTTTGTAGCTTTATATGTAGGTTTGTAGATTAGAACATGTTGAATATGTCTTTTTAAGTACAATATACAACACTTGAATCAACAGCCTCCAAGTCTTCATCTTCTAAGTCCAGTAGTACCGGAACTGGAAATGCTGAGACAGCTCCACCACAAGAATCAGGTTTGTCTTCCTTAACTTTGTCTCTTAAGGAAAACGCGTATCGAAATTTATTTATACTGTCTGTATGCAATGATGTATACAAAGGATTAAAAAATTAAGTGAGAGATGTTTTGGTGTAATTCTTTTTAATAGAGTAAAAATATCCATGATTGTATTTGATGTTAATTATCATTCTTACTTTTTTAAGGTGGCATGGATTCTATGATGGGCGGATTAATGGGGGGAATGAGTAAGTTCTTTTTAACTCTACAGAAACATTTCGTAAATGTTAATGTTTGATGATAAAATAACTCTAAAATTTTCTTTCTTACTAGCTCGTTTTTAAGATTTTAAAAATAAAGAAGTCCTTTTTTTTCAAAATTCCTCAACTTCTTCAATTAAACATACCTGAAATCCAGATTTTACCTGTAGGTTAAGTATATTAATACAGAATATTTATGTCTTACATTAACACTTACTAAGATAATATAATGTTATGTTTAGATCCCTTGGCAGCAGCCATGATGGCCGGAGGAGGGGGTGGTGGCGGTATGGGAAATTTAGGAGGTAGGTGGATTATTTATATTTTAGAAACACACAGAGTTGTCAGCCTAAACACCAGGTAAAAACATTAATTTTAGGATATTGATAATGTAGGATTCCCATTTCTTCCGCACACATTATCGATTATTTTGCACACTTTTACATAAATGTCATAAATCAGTGTCCTTCTAAAAAAAAATTTTTGGTAGATTGGAATTTTTTAGATAAATCTGTAATGACGTGAATGATATTGCTGCAATCAAGTTCTACTTCAGTTATTTAATTTTATCCTTTTTTTGTTAAATATGACTTTTATGTTAAGGTTGAAATTATTTAAAAATAAAATTATAATGTTCATTATCAACATCCATCTCTTCCTTTTACAGCCCTGGCCAGCATGATGGGTATGGGAGGAGGAATGGGGGGTCTCGGAGCTCTGGCAGGTAGGGAGCAATCATTATTTTAATTTTCATTATCATCTTAAATAAGTATAATTTATTATTTTAAGTTTAGAGTACATGTACATAATTATAACGTGAGCTTATATATATAAATATATATAGAATAATTTCCAGAGGAGCATACATTTCTTGAAAATTAATTGTTCTCATCAATATTAAATCGCTTTTAAAAACTGAATATTAAAGGACATTTTAATATCATCTTTCTTTTAAAAAAAAGTATTATTCTACATACCCAAAACAGCAAGCAATTATACTCTTTTTAATTGATTGAATATTTATCTTTGCTTATCATAATGGTTTTCTTTTTCAGCTTTAGGAGGAGATTTACCAGGTAAGAGACTGAGTCTGTTACTGGTTAATACTAGTTTGTTTAAATACAAATGAATACAACAAAATGTATATAACATAAATCTAAGCTCTGGAATCTTGAATATTTTAAAGTGAGAGCAATTTCATGTAATTATTTTTCTCTTTATGTATATGTATATTTGTGATTTCCATGTTATTTTATTGATCTGTGTTAAACAGATATGCCTTCAAGGGGAGGTAAGAGACGTAGTGACACTAACAAATTAACCACAAATCAATATTTATTTAATTTTTTCTGTGAACATGTGTATCTCATTCATCAGACATTTTTTCATCAGCATTTTGCATCATGTGTGCATGTATAGCATTTAAATACATCATCGTGTTCTTGTTTTTAAGTTCCCCTCTTGCTTATAGTGTAGCAATTGCTTCCCTTTTTTAAATCTTTATTTTAGAAAACTCACTATTTAAAAAATAAAAAAAAGTTAATTAAAAAATATAGTTTGTAAAGAAATTATTGAAGTGAATATTCTTGTATTAAAGGAATGATGGGCGGTCGAGGTAAGCTTGCTCTGGGATTTTTGCCCATGTGATGTCACTATAGACGCGCAATATTTGCATGGAATTAGCTAGATCAAATTTCCTGTGTATTTCTTTGCCTTTTATAATAACATCTCCAACGTGAACTTCTTTAAGGTCATATTTATATATAGAAATTAAGTAGCAACCGTCTAAGTGGTTCTTTTAAATTCAAACTATGTTGATGTCCTGAGTTGAATAAAAAAACAATAGGTCTTGTCTGTCGGTTCACCTTCAGTTACTTTTTGGTGATCTTTTATTATCTAATATATTTACTTTCTTTTTAGCCTAAGATCTAGTGAGGTCCAATGAAAAAATATAGCAAATCCGGTCAATTGTAGTGGTTCAATTAATTTTATCTCCATTTTGTCAATAAAACGATTTATAGTCTTGTCCTATTTGATAAACCGAAAATTGAACAAATTGATCATGCAAATCTAATTGTTTAATTTATGGCTGATAAGAGAAGTGAATTTGTTTCTTTTCTAATATAATAAGAACTTTGAACTGATCCTAGAATCATTTTTTTTTCTTTTGGCGTTTCCGCATAAGCGCCATCTACTAACAAAACCTTTGAACGAGTCGTTCTTAGATTAGTCTTAATATACTGAAGCTTAATACTTTGATTCCCCCAAGGTCATTTCATCACAAATTCGGATGCAAAATTGAGAAAAAAATATGAAGAAGAAATATAACGTTATTGAAAAAAAAATTGTGCGTCATATATTAAATTGAGTTCTGCTTAATATCAAACACGAATGCACACATATTATCTTCCATCAGAGATTATCAATGAAGCTGAGCGGGTTCTCGGTGGTTTTATTTACATTATTTGTCGAACATCGCAGAGGTGGTTCTGAGAAAAACAAAAGACAAGTAGGCCCGAGAGATGACCAATACTAATAATTAATCACTTCTACATATATATACTTCTCTATGCTCAAAAGTTATTTATCTATATTCAAAATACCATAAGCATGTTCTTAACATTATCAAAAGATCTTTTTAAAAACTACTGTATTGTATTTAAATATCAACAAGAGCAGTTGTATTTTTACATTTATTTTAATTGTGAAATTTATCAGTATAGCTTTAATAAGTCTTTTTCCAATCATCCCCCAAAATTAACTTTTACATGAATTTGAAGTATTTTGAAACGCTGTTCGAAAGTAGATAAAGCTAGTAAATATAGCGAAAGTTGTTGAATTCATTGTAAACCTTTTATCAAAACACTGGAGCGAAACACAAATTTGAATAAGAAAATGCTGTATTATGCATAGAAGGCAATATAATCATTTAAAAAGTATTAAATAGTACTCCATTGATGATGTTGAAAGCAAACAAAAAACCCCAGAACCTAGAACGCTGTTAACTTCCTTGTCTCGGTTCTTGTTTTTACTATCAGTAATCTCTTTTACAGGAGGTATGGGTGCCATGGGCATGAATCCAATGGCTGCCTTAATGGGAGGCATGGTTAAAAGGTCCACACTAAATACTCAAACCAGTGATTCGGGACGATCTCGGAGACGGAATACAGACTTCACCGTAGGCGGAAGAAAGGACCCGGTTCCTGTTGATTTGTTTTCTGCTTCCTTCACACCTGTTAAGAGCCATATTACCGGAAGTTCTGTAGCGATAGGACGAGGAGGAGCTGTGACGGACACGGCGTCTCAGAAGGGTGGGAATAATGGCTGAAAAACATATTTTAGAACAATATCAAAGCAGCAAATGTTCAGAAAAGTTTTTGTTAATTAAAACCTGGTTGAGATAGATGTATTTCAAATTTCATCTTCCCTTTCGAACTAAATTCAATCAAATAAAATCATGTACTCTTACTTGTTACATTAAGTTGTTACTTGAAAAACTCCTTGTGCATCATGGGAATTTTCATTACAGCAATCCCCCCACCAGACCCCTTCAGAACCTCACGATTACCAACAAAATCTACAATAGAAAAAATCCAATATCAAGAACCAGCTAATTCGAAATCAGTGATGAATTCGCCACTTCAAGTTAGCTTCCAGCAGAAAACTGCACAGTCAGCTACAAATGCGCTAGAAAAAGTACTCCCTCCTGTCCCTGTTAATAGCAAGGCCGCGGCGACGTCACCTTGGAATAACCAGGCCACAGTTCAGAACACCTTAAACGTATGGCCAGGCGTCAACAACATGGCTGTTACAACAACAGCGCCACCGACGATCACCACCACGCCACCTATTGCCACCACAGCAGGTTTGAACTTTGTTAGATATTTACTTGTTGATGCAGCTTGAAAAGTTACACACTTGTTAGCCTTAAAATGTTTCACAAAGCTATATTCAAACTTTAGAATATTGGTTGAAAGTCTTGCAGTCTTCAAGTTTCATGTATGAACTTAACAATAAAAACTACATATAATCAACTCCGGATAAAACCTTGAAACATTGCTTTTGCGACAATGAATTAAATGTCCTCTCTGTATTTGATTACATGAGGAATGTCTTTTCTTGAACCTTGTTTCAACCTCTTTACTACAGACTCCTTTTTTGGACTAACACCAAATAACGCTGCCGGACAATTGTCTCACATGGGATTCTTGATGAATCCAATGCCTACCCAGATTCAGGCGGGCTTTGGTGCCGACAGCATGAACAACATGTTTGGAATGGGTGGGATCAATGGAATGGGACTAGGTATAACAACCTTATTTTCTCTAATTTACGTTTCTGTTGTTGTATTTCTGTAAATTTTGTTTTGTTTTCAAAGATCTTTTTGGCTTAAATTCATCTTATGCCTACTAAGGTACAGACCCAATTCCTACTTCAGGATTTTCTGATCACACCTCAATGATGGGCGGAACCGGAAATATGGGAGGCCAAGCATCCATGATGGGCGGAACCGGAAATATGGGAGGTCAAGCATCCATGCTGGGCGGAACCGGAAGTATGGGTGCTCCAGCTTCTTCCGGTGGAGCAAATTCGTTTAATCAGATGCTAAATAGCGGAGCTAACACAGACATGCTTTTCGCCAGCATTGGTAAGTTTTATCTTTTTAAATTCAATTCTTGATTTCTATCTGAAGCATTCAGCTAATCTTAAAAGGTTTTTTCGTCCTATATTGTAATTTGAATTTTTCCACGTGCACCTCAGAATTATATTATTAAGATTTTCAAATATATGCAGTCATTTTGTGAGACGCAATACATTTTTTTAAAGAAAAGGTTTACTTTCTTTTTTTCATTTCTGACTTTTTAATACAATGTGTATTTGTATTTATTTTTCAGGTCTTATACCAGATCAAATAGGTAATGTATGTTCTAAATAGACACAGACATTCTTCTAAATAGAGATTAACATTCTCAACTACATGTAGCTTACTTTTCACGACAGATCTACCTTGTGTTTTCAAGCCATGTAATTTAAAGGAACGGGTTACATACAAGTGCAGTATATTAATACACTATTCAAAATTGGTTGCAAATTGTAGTAATAATGAAACTTTTCAACTAATCTATTACGGCTTTTTTGATGATTTATCAAAATTTATTTATATATTTGTTTATTTATTTGTTTATTAATTTATGTCTTTCAGCTGACATAATGGGAGGAACTTCACGCATGGCATGTAAGTAAAGGAATGAAAGGGAACGTTCAAATAGAAAATATAACTTAAGATTTTTTTTCCCATTTTAAATTATAAAAAAATGTTTAAACGTATTTATTTACTTTCCTGTATTACTCTGTTTTGTTTTTAATATCTGTTTTATTTTTTATTTTAGCCTCCATGCCAATGGACATCAAAAGTAAGTCCATGTTTATCTTGCATTATCTTTTCTAGTTCAATATTTCTGACTTACATAATTTCCATCCAACAAAGAACATCTTGCAATTAAACAAACAAATATATTCAAATCAATTTCTAAAACAATAAATACGCAAAATTGAGTTTTTTGTCAGCTTCTCTACGATTTTATCTAAAGTGGAGGTTTTCTTTCTCAAATTTAGGCAAAAGTTCTCATAATTTTTCTATTTCTTTTGTTTACAGTGAAGGCTATTCAGATGAGGCAAGGTAGGTTGTGTTTTAGGATCCTAATCCCATCAATTTAAAGGCTAGTGATGGAGGATGGTGGAAACGCGGAAGTTTAACATATTTTACGTTACTTGAAATATACCTCCAAAACATCTGATATTGCCACACTGGAGATAAGCAAATTAGCCAATTAATATCTATTTAAACATGAATTTCTCACAATGAAGTTGTAAACAACAAAATGTTTTTTTTTTCTTAAATTCTTTTTTGACAAAATTTTATTAATTAAAACATTTCATCTTTTTCATTACAGCTGGAATGACACCTGATCAAATTGGTTTGTATATTGTATAAATAAAAATTGCTCATTGAACTTTAATGTTCAATATAGGCCATGATATCTAATGCGAAATGTAGGTTGTGGTATCTTAACTTCAATAAAGATATCCTGTACATGTCATTTTTAATATTATCATCATATTGCATAATGATATGATTTATCTTTGTGTTTATTAGTAAACAATGTACTTTGAATAGCACTCTATGTGATGGCTATGTTTTTCATGCCTCTCCTCCCTTTTTTTAGCTGACAACCTTGGTGATGTCATGCAGGCAAGAAGTAAGTTCGCTTATCAGATTCTGATATTCAATTTTTAAGTTATCGTTTATTTAAATTTTATTTATTTAGTACATGTATTTCTATTTTATAAAATGTACTGAAGTAAATCTAAAGAGTACAAATATTTCATTTATTTTTTTTTTCTCTTACCTTAGGAGCACAGATGAAAATGGCTTCAAGAAGTAAGTTGACGTCAGCCATTTTAGAATGACGTCATGCATGTATTCAACTTTTAATATTCTTTTGAAATTTCTTTCTAAATTTGATTACCTCCTCTAATATTGTAAAACAATAGCAGTCAGTAGAAAACATTTTTAAAAAATCAGATCAGAAATGAGTCTCACTTGGAATTCATTCTTAATGTATGCTTTTTTCTCTTCAGTGTCATTAATGGGTTCCATGGGGTCACTAGGAGCATCCAACAGAGCATTGCCAGGTAATAACATAATTATTATTGTTCTTGAAGATAAAATCATTAACGTCTGGAATTTTAATGATTTCTTGCTTGATTTAAGACCAAAAAATAAAACTGTCGAAGAGTCCATTCATTCAGTGATATTTGCTAAACGTAAAAAAACGGCAGTTTTTGATTACATGTGAAAATGTTGCTTATAAAGTTTGTATTTTTCACATTACCTTTTTTGGTATTTTTATTGTCGGAATGATATTAAGTTAGTATTTTTATCATTACTTTTTTGTATTTTTATTGTAGGAATGAAGTAGAACCGTAATTAACATATCATTGTCTATCCAGTTCTCGCATCATGCTGCAAATAGACACATCATCAGGCGATAGGGGGCGTGTCAAAATAATGACAAAAAGGGCAGATAACCCATGTTATCCCTTGGAATAATTTTAAACATGGCATCAATGGTGAATAGTGAATATATATGTAAGACTATGTAAAAGTACTTCAATGTTTTTTGTACTCCGATTCGAACCGTATCGGTTTGTCATGCATTATAATTGTCAGCTAAAT